TGACTGAATATTGACCGAGATGACTTGGCCTTAAAAAATATTAACATTGGCTCCAATACTGACCAACTGGGCTCCCGAAAAGATTGGCGTTATCTCAATGATAATGACTTGACCAGTTCTTGATGTGGGAATTGGTTTCCCGTTTGACCATGTGTGAGGCCACTAAAAGTGGTGTGTTAGAAAATAGGATCTCACATCGAGCATATGAAAAAATAATATACAAGTCTGACATCAATAGAATATTTATCAAGTCTTGGGCCCCGACCTTCCATTATGACGCTTCCTTCTGAAGTGTTTGGCCGCGTTGTATTTGTTCATCTCCCAAAACATCAACATACAAATGTTGTGTGTTGTGTGTTTATGTTTGCTACTCATCAGAAAGGATATCGTTGTTATCATCCACCTACTTGATATACTTATGTGACCATGGATGCGACATTGTGGAATCCGAAATGTATTTTGGTTTCTTCCAAATTATGTGTATAATCAATAATATAGTTCAATGAATGTAATTAACCTAAGAGATAAGTTGTTAACGCTCAAATGGTGAGGCTAACAAAAGTTAAATGAATCAAGTGTTTGTCTGTGATAGACTTAGGCTTTGCAGACAAATGATAATAGACACATGATTTAAATTGTTCACTCCTCAAAACTAGGCTACAACCATTAAGTTTCTTGTAAAAATTGGTAACAAGGTTACAAATAGCAGTCAGCTAGAATAGAACAATTTTTATCTTAATTTGTCCGGCTCATTTTAAGGAGTACTCATCTTCCTTATATAGCCTTCCTCTCAACCTTCAACCTTTAGGTTTTAGTCCATCACTTCCTTTCATTTAATGTGCTAAATCCACAGGCTAGACCTGCTAGTATCCCTTCATTCTTTGTCCGACACGTGGCAACTAGGGGACACTAGAGCAAGTCCACTTGTGTATTTTTCTAGGATAGAGCAGCCGAGCGCCTTACTCGGCCCTGGAGTTGGTGGGACCTTGTACTGAGCGCCTTACCTATCAGCCTTTTTGCCCATTCGTAGACTTGTGTTCCTTTGTCTAACCGCCACGTGGTTTGGAGTTGATGTCTGACTAGGCCTGCCCCTTCTGTTTTTAGGTCCTCGTGCCTTAAAGTTGTCAATGACCAACATGCCCTCTGGTGCTCGGAAGGCACTTTCTTAGGAAGTTCTCGGCTTGATTTTTGACAAGACACTCAAAGGCCATAGACCTTCTAAAGTGCTCAGCTTCACCATTTCACGCCCATTGGGCCTTGGCCTTCTTTTGGGCTTGTGTTCCTCTAGGCCTATTGGGGTCGAAAAGGACCATGCATTAACTCAAGTGATCTAAGGTAGTAAGATCAATGAGACTTTTCTCTTAAGTTCATTCATTAAAGGTTTCTAACCATAGGATTGTCAATTAGGCATTAACAATCAATTAAAGGTTAGTATGTGTTATGTCAACTCAATTATGAGTATGACTTGTCTCATGTAATTAGTGTTAAAAACTAAGACAAACACATAGATGCTTAAAAGGTCATTGAGCCACTTAACTACGATTAACAAAGAGTTCTTATATATACTTGTGATGTAAAAACTCATAAGTAGTAATAATGCAAAGTAATCATTCGACCGAAACCCTAATTTTTATTGTGGATATATCTATGATCATTTGACTGCACCTCCCTTAGAATATGGAGAGTGAAACGAATTTTGGGTCTACATACTTATAATCATTTAAAATAAGTGTGCATGCATAATATAATACGCAGCATATTATATAGGAAGGTACAAATTTAGGAAGCAACATAATAAATTGAAGGAATTCGGGAGCATCTACGTTATATTTTTTATTTCATAAAAGAATCATATTATGATTTTAATCTCAAAGCTTTCCATATGCAAGTATTAATGAATTAACAAAACGAGAATATAGGTACCATTTGGTACGTGAGACGAGAAGGAATGGAATGGGATGAGACATTCCATCCCACGTGTGATACGCTTAAAATGGGTGGAACGCACTGTTCCACGGGACGAATTTTGAATGAATTTTTCTTCTGCCTCACCTCATGAAACGACTCGTTCCACATCCATGGAACACAAAATTATAATCTCTCCATCTCTTTCTTCTTCCTCCTTGTTTTCATTTGAGAACATCTTTACTTCCTCTCCATTCCGTCCCATCCTGTCCTATCCCGTCTTATCCCATTATGTTTCGTCCCGTCCCATTTGCATACCAAACGATACCATAAAGAATAAAATACAAGTCCAACGCGGCGGTAGATGCTTTGAGAACTCGTCCAGAGGACAAGGAAATTTCAGTTCCAAACTAAAAATGACGTGTCAAATTTTCAAAGGTTGGGAGACCCGGTCCCCCAAATAGTTGGGAGGCACAGACCGACGGCTGTCCTAGGGCTACCATTTGGCTTGACCCTTTGGCATGCTTAGAAGTCAAGCTTAATTAATACCCAATAAAATTCCTAAAAGGCCAATAACTTCTAGAGGTGGGGGGATGCACTTGTTTCTTTTCAATCTTTTAATTAAATAGTTATTTTAAAAAGTTGTAAGAAGAGAAGGGTATTTTTGGCAGTTTGAATGTTTTACTAGTTCTAGGGCAGCAGCATAAACCACAAGGGTCCCAGATATGAATCAACCGAAACGCGTCGTAAGACTCCCACCAAATTTTACTAGCCGCGGCGCATCTCGCCCATCTCCTTCCCCCCTCCTTCCCACTTCCCTTCCTTACTCGTCTCCGTTTCCCACTATATAAATACAACCCCCACTCCCTCACCCTCCAACTCAACCATTCGGACACATTTCTACTTACATACAGCATATGTCTCAGAGGCCCAACGTCCCTCACTCCTCCTCCATTGCCTTTGCCCTCCACTCCCACCTCTTAATCTCCAGTGATATGAACCCTAATTGGTCCTCCTAAACCCATCCATTCAATTTTGATCCTATTTTTTTTATTCTTTCATTCATTTTTTAACAGACGATCCCAGAAAAAGGGAAAAAAAACCCCAAAAGATTCGACCTTTGATTCGATTGGAAAATGGGTATCAAAGGATTTGTCGAGGGAGGCGTCGCTTCCATTGTCGCCGGCTGCTCCACCCACCCGCTGGATCTTATCAAGGTCCGCATGCAGCTCCAGGGCGAGAGCAACCCCGCTCGCGCCGCCGCCCCCCAGCACATCCACAATCTCCGCCCCGCTTTTGCTTATAATTCCCATTCCGCCACCCTTGTTGCCCCGCCGCCCCCACCGGCCACCGTACGTGCCGGTCCAATCTCGGTCGGAGTCAAAATTTTTCAGACCGAAGGCGTTAAGGCGTTGTTCTCGGGAGTCTCAGCAACAGTTCTCCGCCAGACTCTGTACTCCACCACCCGAATGGGCCTCTACGAAATTTTGAAGGTCAAATGGGCCGACCCGAACTCCGGGAACCTGCCACTGGCCCGCAAAATTTTCGCCGGGCTCGTCGCCGGTGGAGTCGGAGCTGCCGTCGGCAACCCCGCCGACGTGGCCATGGTCCGGATGCAAGCCGGCGGCCGCGACTACAAGAACGTGATCGACGCGATTTCCAAGATGGCGAGGAGCGAAGGGGTTCTTAGCCTGTGGCGCGGGTCCAGCCTTACAGTGAACCGCGCTATGATCGTGACGGCGTCGCAGCTGGCGTCGTACGACCAGATCAAGGAGGCGATTCTCGATAGGCACTTGATGAAGGACGGCCTTGGAACGCACGTGACGGCGAGTTTCGCGGCGGGGTTTGTGGCGTCCGTGGCCTCGAACCCGATCGACGTGATTAAGACGAGGGTTATGAACATGAAGGTGGAGGCTGGGCGGGACCCGCCCTACACTGGGGCCCTCGACTGTGCCTTAAAGACTGTGAGGGCGGAGGGGCCGATGGCCCTTTACAAGGGCTTCATCCCTACGATTTCGAGGCAGGGACCGTTCACTGTGGTGCTGTTTGTGACGCTTGAGCAGATCAGGAAAGTGCTTAAGGACTATTGAGAGTCGGAGTCCGACCAATTACCATCATGAAAAATAATAATAATAATATTATTATTATTTTCGACTATGGCTATTATTATTGATTAATGAATTTTACCTTTGGAATTTGGCCATTGATTTTGTTTTTCTTTATGGGTTAATAATGATTTATAATTTAAATAATTTTTTCGCCATGCAAATAATCCGATACCCGATTAGCAAGAAAGAAGCGTTTTGAGGTAATTGGATATTTGATCCTTGAATTAAAAATAAGTTAAATAACTAAAAATCTGTGCGAATTGATATCTGAATACAGTAAAAATTTTAATTCCATCCAAAATAAAAAGTTTAGTGTGGAAAAAAAAAATTCGACTACAACCAATGTTAGATATTTCTATTACAACTTTATTTCCATGGTTGATCATTTGCATCACCCTGTCCAAATTATGATACCTCAAAATGGAACATCTTGATTCAACTAAACTTTAAAACAATCAACCATGTGATAAATGGCATTGAAACTAACACTATATTTAGATGTGGAAATAAATTTGAAATTTAAACCAAAATCAGAATTATAAATTGAGATGCATCAATTTCTTTGTTTGGATTCATAAATATATAAATTTAGAATTTCAACGTGGAAAAAAACTTGAAATTTAGGACCTATAATTCGTAAGTTTAAATTCTAAGTAAATAGGTGTCATTTTCTAATTTTTATGAGTTAGAGTTTAAAAATAGCAAATTTCGTATTCAAATACTATTGTTTTTTTTTTTGGTTAACCAAACACGATAATTCATAAATTTTAGAAAATAAAATCTGTAATTTCAATTTCCGTCATTTTAAAATTTCTTAGTAATCGCAAATTTCCTCATTCAAATAGAGTGTAAAGAAATTTGAGTAGAAATGAGTTTTTCTTAAGCGAGTTGTTATTCACGCTTCATGACGGTCTTCCAACAGTGTGATTGCATGATGACTTTTATGGTATGAATAACGAACCATGTTCGTAAAATCATTTGATATTGAGTTCAACAATGAGACCCAAAAACTAAAATTGTTTTGCAGAAAATTACATATTCATTCATCCATACAAGTACGACCATGCGTAAAACGGGAGCCTTGTACACTGGATACGATATTTTTTTTTTATTCATCCATACAAGTACAACGCACGCAAATAACTGAGCAATTTGTGCTGTGTGAGAGCCCGACAGCATAAATGAACAGTTTGGGGTTGCGGATAAATCAGTTTTACTACAAGGAAATGCTTCATCTGTACACACATCCCTCTCAGCCTTAACGCAACATGTAAAACATTTGTTATCATCTGGCGTCCGTCCTCGGAGAAGTTTTCTGTTTACTACTCTCTACAACTCGACCTTTCTCCACGGTAACAGACAAATGGCTCTCCGATTTTCCTCTGTCCAGGCTATGCTGCTGCTGTTGGCTTTCAGATCTCTTTCCTCCTCTCTCTGAATGACTCTCCGCTTTCCTAAGTTTCTCCGGTTTCTCTGATGTGTATTGGAGCGACTGGCTTTTATCCAAATTTTGAGCAGGGCCACGGCCTTGAAGCTCATTTGCTATTTGGCTCCGCCGCTCCTTCAAAAAATTCAGTCGCGATGTCAACTTCGTTATTGCTGAAGTTGTGGAACTACCTCCCTGTTATGCCACAGGCAAAGACGTATGTAACTATTTCTACCCTTCTATCTAATCACACAAATAAATCAGCTCAGAAAGAAATCAGCTCAGAATAAAGCAACAAGTATAAACATAAACGTTTTCTAGTTTATTCAATCGGCGTTGTAATCCTTTCCCCATTAATCAAAGTATCCAATCCTTAATGGTAATCAACATCATCAAAACGAAAGACGGAATGCATATGTGCAATGTGGAAATTGAATCTTCAATTTGATGGTAAATGGTAATCTATTGGTTAAAATTCCTATTGAATCAGAACTAATGTGACCAATCTTACCTCACCCCCACCACCTTTCTTGGAGTTCGTTGAAGCAGTAGGCTTCGCTACCACTGGCTCTACTGCAGATGAATCAGCTGGCAGCCCAACGGACCGGGAGTTGCTTTTGTTTGCTGCATCTATCTTCTTTTCATTCACATTTTCTGTTCCATCTTGATGAGTATCCTGTTGAACATGTCCAGATATTAGTTCGAACAAATTTATTACTTTTAACGAATACACTTTAGCCGACATTCACCTCTCCTAGACCCTGCGTAAAGTGAGAGCCTTGTGCACTGGGTACGACCTTTTAACGAATACACTTTAGCAAGAACTGCTTGTTAAGTTCATCCTACAAGTTTTCTAAAGGCTTAATTTCCCTTTTTTTATGCAAAAGATATTCTAATTTGAACTAATCTAAATTGCCGAGAGGGAATAACTCGGGTGCATAGGCAGGACCACTTCTGCTCTAGCCAATGTGACCATGCCCACATCTGCTTCTAAAGGCTCAGTTTAGCTTAAAACATAAATGGACAAGTTTCAAGACCAAAATAGTACAAAAATTAAGTTAATCGTGACATTTGTTCACGTCGATATCTCAAATGTCAAAATAAATGTACCTTGCTTCTTGACGATTCTGAATGTGAAGGGACTATGGTTTCACTGTCCTGTCTACCTGTCGTGTGCCTAAAAATGACACAGAAAAGGGGAAAAATAAAGTGCAAATGAGTCATCAATGATTGGCTATGTCTGCATCTTCATGTAACTTGCATTCGAAAACTTTTAAGCATTAATTATTATAACCACAGATCACGAACTATCCTTGACAAAAATGGAAGAATGATCTAACAAGAAAGCATCGTGAAATAACTAAAGATCTCACAGTTTTGCTAGATGATCGCGACTATTTCTGAATGAAATGGAAGGATCAGCCATAGAGCCATGGTTTCGATCACACTGTTGATTAAGCTGCACGCCAAGATCATCAACCTTCTTGTTCAAGTTGGCAACATTCTCCTCTGCCTGAGCTATTTCAGTAAGATCTGCCCTTGTCTATATAGCACATATGCAAGTTAAATCATTTGGTGCATGATAAAAAGCTCTTAGGCCAGACCAGTTTAAGAGCACAGTCAATACTAACTTTTTCATCAACTGTGGCTAAATTGGGCACACGTCCCCCCTTTCCTTTTAGTCCTGCTTCAAGAGCTGCTGTTAAATCCTTCTCCTTCAGTAACTGTTCCTGTAGTCTTGCCACCTACAAGTATATTAATGCCCAATATCAGTATTAGCTTCACCCTTCTTGGCTAATCACTTGATAACCATTAAATAATAATCGAACAAGCATTATATTCTACGGGTTGCAGAAGCATGTTCTGCTAATAAGAAAATTTGTTCTCAGTATGGAATTTACATCTTGCTCAAGAGCTAGGCGACGCTCATGCAAGGCCATCTTCTGTCTCTCCAGACTTGCTTGTAGAGCAGCATTCGCTTCAGCCTGTAAAGGAAACTAACAACTAAGTATCACATATTCCAAACAACTTGATACAAGGTTTTTTTTTTTTGACGGAAGATACATGGTAATTGGAAAGTGAGATACCTCTTCGGCAATTCTGTTTTCTAACTCAGATTTAGTCATCTCGAGGTTCTGGATTTCAGCCCTTCACACAGGAGGAAAAATTATATGTTAGAACAAACCACATGACCTGAAGAGAAGCTTCATAAAAAAATATACTAATGGCTGATCTCGAGTAAGTAAAACACTGATACACTTGGAAAAAATATACTACTGATGCATGCTTATGTGCGTGAGTGTGCCTGTATGTATGAAGCGTGCAATACAGGGCATCTACTGACATTAAACAAGATACAAGATTCACGCAGAAAAGATTATAGGCAAATCTCCATGAGGGAAAGAAACTCTACAGAGATGAAATATGCATCACTTACTCTTCCTCAAGGCTGTAGTCAATGGACTCCATGGAAAGGTTCTTCTTTGCCTGGACCCGAATCCCACCACCCATCAAAAGAAAAAAGAAACACAATTAACAAAAACTCTCTGAATGGAAACAGTATTCAAAGTCCGTTCCTGGATAACATAATCTAGGAAGGTATAAATAATGATGAAAGGCCTAATAAGCAAAAGACTATCACCAATCCAGAAAACATAGACTTACAGCGGTACGTCCCCAATCAGTACGATTCCTGCCATGCTCAGGTCCATTGGATATAGTTGAAGATTTTTGGATGGATGGGGATGGAACGGGTGGCTGGTTCGGTGAACTTATTTCTCTAGAAACCTCTTCTACTACAGATGACTCATTAGCCTGCTCTAGCGCATTGGTTTTACTTAAGCTTAGTTCATTCTTACTGCTCTCTACAGCATGTTGAGGCTGCAAAACTTTAATTGAGCTTGATGACAATTTCTCGTGAGCTTTGCCATCATTGCCTCCATGAGGAGTCTTCACACCTAGTCTTAAACCATCATCATCCTGCAAACAGTGAATATGTTATACATGAATCTCCAAGTTTTTCTGGCAACGGAAACAAACAGTAAGACATGAACAAAAACCAGAATGCTAATGACTGGCACTAATAATTTAACCAACTTGAAAGCACCAAATCTCAATGACAAGGTCTTGCACTAATATATTGAAGGACTAAGTACGTAGGACTTTTAATCATCACACTGAATGTATAGTTTGATGTAGAAAAGTCATGGAGTATAGTAACGAGCCTTATCATCATGCCGATCCTTGTCTTCAGATTGACCACTCTCACTGCACGTTCTATCTCCATCAGAAACAATTTCAACATCTTCATCCTCTGTTTCTGCATCAGTTTCATCATCTTCATAGTAATCGTCATCATCGGTTGCCCCCTCGGTCTCACTTTCACTCTCTTCTGTGTCACTGTATAGTTCCTGGGACAGGGGACCACCTTCCTGCAAATACATGGAGAAAGAACCGACTTGGTTCAACTTCCAAATTATGAAATATTCTCAACATCATAACTATACAGAAATCCGGAGTCCCAACTATTCATGTGAAATAATTCGCGACTCTAGAGTGAGCTAGTCGAAAATCTTTTTTGAAGAACAACATTCTGAATAGAAAATCTTCATAGCTCAAAACCAGACCAGCAAAAAGTAGAAAGTGTAATCATTAAAGTAATGGTATAAGGTAAAAGGCTTCTTGGAGCGTACCCCAAATATGTGATCATACTCCTCCAACAAAGTTATAACAATTGCTTGAGCATGATTAGCGGCAGCAGCTGCTTGCAATAGTTGAACAGAACCATCACCCCCCACATCAATATCATTGTCAACTTCACAATCCCCAGCTAAGAGTGGACGAAGAAGTAAGGGAGCCATACAAGCTGCAACAGCTGAGCAGCTCATCCGGTTCACAGCTTTCTGGGCAGCCACACTTTGCATCATCAAAAGAATTCTGAACGGAAAAATACAAATTAAATTTGAAAAATGATAACTGGGCATTATATGAATGCAAGATAGTAAAGCAAGCGAGATAATACTGGGAACAAAAAGGAAATCTTTGCTAGCACAATAATTATTTCTAGTAAAACATAATTACCGCTAAGGAATCTTACTAAAAACATAATTATTTCTAGTAATCTTTGCTAGCACAATAATTTGGCACCGCACAAGCATGTTAAAACTTCTTTTAAGAAAACGCCTGATACTTAAAGAAACGAGGAAAACAAATCTAAGGGTCAAATTATTAACAAACGAAAGCAATAATCTATTCAATCAAACATGGAAAAAGATAACATAGCTTTAGATCAACCGCACGCGCAAAACATACTCATTGACAAAATGAACGAAACCAAAACTCAGAAATAATGAAGTAACATAAAATAACCTTTGCAATAAATGGCGATTTGGCTCCGGGAACGTATCACATATTGTTGTGCGCATAGCATTGACTCTACCACCACGATCATTACCTAATCAATGGGAAATTTGTATTAAGAAAGTAGAACAACAGTAATACTGATATAACACTGTACTCTTATACGTCAAATCTTGAGTAGAAGATGGCACGCACAGACTTAAAGGCCAAACTGAAGCGGTTGAAAATGTAAAACTTCCCCTCTCACTAGGTTTCAAATAATTTTCACGATTACTTGCCACTCCAAATTCACAAAACAAAAACAAAAAAATCCAGGAAAAACTCTTCAGTAACATCGTGCTTTTGAAGCTCGATTTCTCTTTTCTTTGTTTTCCCTGTTAGAAAATAGAAACTCTACTGATTGACCTCAAACATAAAGCCAGGCCAAGAAAGAATGTAGATCAAGGTAAATGAGGCTTCATTGAGTTGGCCCTAATAGATAGCGTGACAGCATACGTACGTAAAACTTTATATACATACATACATATATATATATATATATATCTGATATTACGAGACTGTTAAAAGAATCAGCGTTTCTATGTGATAGTTTTTTAGCCCAACCTTATGACACAATAAATATCATAATACTAATTGAAAAGGTACTAAGAAACAGATGGTATAGTTTAAATCAGATGTACCGTACCAGATTTACGAAAGGCATCTAGTAGTGCGTTACAACAAGATGCAGGGACCGGGGAAGATGGCAACGCCCGGAGGACATACTGGAAATTTGCATCAAGAAAGAAAATATAAAACCAACTTTCAGAACATTCTATAATCTACACGAAGAAATCAACATTTATTGTCAAAATAGATACCTTGACACAATCAGCAATAACATGCGCATCCTCCTCAGAAGAAAACTCTGTTTTCCCTGATACATAAAAATACAACCCGAAAATATTATAGATATCGAAAAAGATCAGTTTTTAGATTTTTTTTTTTTTTTTCTATTTATACAGCTCCACAAGCCACCAGTGATAAACTGAATTTAGATTCTAGAATTTAATTTAAAACAGCCAATCCTGAATAAAAATATACAATTTGGATCATTGAAAAAATTCGAAGATATATAATCCATAACCTTACTTGAGGGATCCCTCAATAGAGGTGACTGTATATATAAATGGTCCATAACAGCTCCATTGAACGATAAATATATAACTTTGAAAAAATGGTGACGAACACCAAATATTACTAAAAATGAAAGTAACACTAACCCTGTTCATACTCTCTTATTCGACTCTCCACATCTTCAACATCTGCAGCTTGTCGTAAGATCCCTTCTACTTTGACTCCTATTTGTATCAAATGATCAGATACATATTTCAAACAAGAAAAGAAATCAATCTATTTCAAAACCAATAATGGAAGAGGTCATCCAGACTTAAGATTGCTCATTCTCGAATTAAAAAGTACCCCTTAGGTGACAGCTTCACCTTAAGAGCCTTCCATATGACTTATGAGTGAAATCTTAAACATTAATACCTATTATATGTTTATTCTGATATTAACTAAAGAAATAAAAATGAAAGCAAATGAGACAAAAAATAAAAATAATAGATCACACGATCATAGCACTGCTCAATAGAACAACTGAGTCCAGGGAGGACTAAAAATTATGCAACGGATATGCATTAAAATATAACATCCAAATCAGAAGACTAACTGCCAACTAAGGTTTCTCAGATGGTGCAGGCGTTAAAAGCGTTCCCAAAAGCACAAGAAAAGCCAATCTACTACAAGAACTGGGGGTGGGTGCAGCGGATTGTATATATGTATATTATTAGACCACCAAGGTAAGTTGAAATGACATCTTATAGCAAGAGATACGGAGAACCCACCATATTCTTCTACAAACCTAAGGGCTTTTTCCAAGAAAGACGGAGCTCCATCAACTTCTTCCAAGGCCAGCAGAACAGGCACTCCAATGACTGTAGATTTCACTGGCTTCTTATCCTTCGCTGTAAAGAAAAACAGACAACAACAATATTTCAATGAGGTGGTACAAGGATAGCAATAAAAAGTTGAAAAGAAAAAAAACATCCAATGCAAGACCCGATCATAAGAAAACTTGTCTTACAGATACTAGCTAAACAATCTGACAGGATTTCATGCTCGGTTGGTAGCCATGATGCAGACTGAGTACCAGAGCACTAAATATCATGTGGCGAAACATTATACATATAAAAGCACAACTCGTCTCTTTGTATTTTTAACTGTCTAATTGAATTTGTAAAATGGCTTGAAGTTACATCAATACTTGACTACTTTTGCTATCTTACCATATTGTTTTGCGCTTTAACTCTTTAGTTAAATAAATATGGTGAAGTTTTCTCCATTTTTCTTACAAAGTACAAAGTTTCGTTTCTGGTATACCACATAAAGGAGATATAATAGACGATTAGGTAATGTATAATTTAACACCAAATACTGGTTTAATGAGACTCTGGGAACAGCTGAAAGAAAAATGGATGGCATAAATATGTGCAGTATTAAACACTATGTCTTGAGAGGCACTGTAAGAAGAGCATACACTGATCCGCAGAACCATCAACTGCCTCGGTCTTATCATTCCCTAAGATTCCATTTTGCCCCATAGCATGAGCGCCACCACTTGGGGATTGTGACAACGCATTTTCAAGTGCAGTCTTCCACTCATGTAGATCCTCCAAAGTTTCAGCCTGCAGAAGAGGTAATAAAAAAAACAAATCAGCAGACTATAGAAGGATCAACATCGTCCATATATAACTTTTGGGCGAAAGGATTTCTAACAAAACTTTGTTTTTAACCAACTTCTCAATGTTTTCCATAAAAATAAACGCATTTTACTTTTATAGAAAAGAGTATGAATGAATTTCTATGAAATGGTATCATGGAATTCAGCCACACAACCAATGCATTGTCCCTACAAGTAGTGCCTCATAAAGTCCTGATTTGGTCACACAACTAATGCAGTGTCCCAACAAGCTTGAAATGTGGTTATGATAGAATACGATGACACCAAATAAGACCTAAAGTCAATTAATCAACAAACATTTACCTTCTTTAAAGGGAATGTATGGAAAAAATTGTACTCAAAATACCATCAAAACAATAATCCATCACCCTTATAGGAAGACAATTTTATCATGCAAAGAATACAGGACAACAAACACAGATGATTTTACTGATAGATCATCTTTATCCATGAGCAAACAACAGATTTATGTGAGGAATTTGTTTTCTGATTCAGTTGAATATATTCTTTTATGAGGATGTTATCAATAGAAACTGTTGTGACTTGCTAAAATTAACTTTCATATTTCGGAAAAAGCAGTTGTAAATCTAAAAATTCCACCAAGGAAAAAGGAGCATTTCAAGTTTTCAACCAAGCAAAATAATCGGGATAAAAAGGAAAGCACACCTTAAGTGTGAAGGCTCGTCCATCACGGCCATCTGGAAAGAGCACGGTCAAGAGTTTCTTGTCTGCTTTGACAACCACACTAGAAAAATTGTACAATTAAATGACGTGAGGTTAGCAGTAATACAAGAGCAGAACAGCAGATCATTATAATTCGAATTACAAGCCAACCTGCCTGAATTGTTGAGGTCAATACCACCCAGGGTCAAATTCACTTCACTTCCCTTTAGAGCAGCACTCTGGCATCGTAGAATAATAGTAAATGAAACATTCGGAGAGAGAGAGAGAGAGAGAAAGAGTAATATTGTCTACAAGAAGAACAGATGCAAGCACATGCACACTATTTAGCAGAAAAGAATTACTTACTGGATCACTTCTGAAGAAAACGAGTGAAGTGCGGGTTAAGATAAACCATCTTTTCTTCCAGGACGTCCATCCAATTCCTTTGGATGATATAAACAGCGGCCCACTCTTGAAAATCTGCAAAACAGCTTATACTTCAGAGTGCATAGTTTTACTTTGGTTAACCAAGAGATAATAAACATGATATTACATGGCAATGAATAGCATAGGACATTATATCACCCTCTTGCATATAAATTACTCACGAGCACTTAGAGTCTCGAGTGCGTTTGTCTTTTTGCAAATGGTATTGTTCTATTCTAATTGTCAGTCGAAAAGCTTAGGTTGCAACAACATAAAAAATAAAGCTACAATTCTCTGGCATTGCAATTTGCAATCATATGTTGTTATTCCTTTTTACAAAACTTTGTCCTTGACATTTTAGCTGCAAGAAATATATGTTTCCTACGAGGTAAATTAACAGGATCTGCCAAGCATAGGGGCCGAACACGGTATTGTTGAATGATGAAAATGAATATTAGATTCATGTAAACATATTCAGCCACGATGAAGTTATGATTGAATATAAAATGATGACATTACCGTGTTGCCACCACGAGAAGGCTGAGATTCAGGTGGACCAGGGCCACCAGATGGGGGAGGAGGAGGAGGAGGAGGAGCATCGCCTTCTCCCTGGAACACACAGCAATCCGATAAATTTCCCTTTCACCACGCCACAATTTATGTACATTCAGATTGAGTCTGTCCTTGTCAATTTGCCTAACAATTAATATGCATGTGCAATATCTATGTGGATTCCTATAGAGTGAAGCTATTAGAAAAAGGAAAGCGGCATTTGTAATTAAACCAAAATATATATACCTGAGGCGCATCGGTGATTCGGTTAGTCATCCTCTGATGGATTCCAGAGTTACAGAATCATATCCCACACGGATCAGCACCACCGGTGCCTACATTGATAAAAAAAAAACTCAACAATATAATCCAAACGATCAAACCCAGAAACCAAAACCAACACAAACCCACAAAAGCAACACCATTTCTCATCAAACAATCAAACCCAGAATCCATTTTACAAATAAGAAAAAACCCAATTCACCAAAATCACAAAAAAATAAAGAACCTTGCATGGAAAATCGAAATGCGGGTTGTTGTTGTTGTTGGATTGGAAAGAGAAAGGAGACGATGGAATCTCTTTCTTTTTCTTCTGAATTTTTTTTTTGTTTTTGCTGAGAGATTAGATTAGAGAGAGAGAGAGAGAGAGAGATTGTTGTGTTGTTGTTCCCAACAGAAACAGACACAAACACAGAAACAGAAAGAGAAAGAAACCTGGGGTGTGGTGGTGGGTGGTCAATCAGGAGCCCAAAGAGAACGGGGCAGTTGTACACCTATGCCTGGTCATTCTTCCTTCCAACGTGTTGGAGGGAAAAACGTGCAGGCCCTCTTTTGGAATTTCACCAATCCTCCCCTCTCTCTCTCTCTCTCTCTCTCTCTAACTTGGTATCATTCCCTTGTTTTTAAGGTTTTGACAGTGCCGACACGTGGCATCGTATTTCCCTTAATCATGTCACTTTGCCAACTCGTTAGGACACGTTGTTGTCGTAATTGTCTGTCTTAACATTTCAGGATTATGAATATAACGGTTAACGGTTTGATTTGGTTAAACTTTTGCGGAGTTAATCATTAAGGAATAATATAGAATGTAAACGATTTTGATCATCAAATAACATTGTATGATAATAAGAAGAATCAAGAAAGTAAAATGAAATGGTTCAAGTTAGAATGTTACTAACATTCCCTTGCTTAGTAATGAAAATAAATATTGTTTCATATTTCTTGACAAAACTGCTTCGAAAGATCTTTCTATTTTTCATTTTCTTTTGTGCAAAAGTTTGTTCTTCTTACTATTTTTCTTTGCCGGGAAATTCATAGTCTAGTTCAAATATGTCTGTTTTTTTTTATACTAGCACTATTGGGTGACAGAGGATTGAACTCATGACTGCAAATGCAAAAAAATAATTATTATTTTAACTAACTGAACTATAAATCCCTTATTGAACATATCGAAATTAACTAGATTTGAACAAACTAATAAAATATTGAAAGATGACTAACATGCACGGACAACATTGGAATGTGAGTAAGCAACATTTGAAGAATAGGGACAGGGAGGCAGATTCTCTGCCCTCCTACTTTCTGTGCTCTCTTGATTTGTGTGGTTATGGTTAAGTCACGTCAACATTTTATATTATTATTTTTATAGAGATAATAAGACAAAATGAATAGTAATATAAAATATTGACGTGTCTTAACTGTGACCATAAAAACAGAAGGGCATGGGAAGTGGAAGGGCAGAGAATCTGCCTCCAACGGGACAGTTTAGGTACGAGTCGATAAGTCTCAATAGTCAACTTTGATTTAATGACTCGAATTTTATTTAAGCTAACCACTTAATTTGTTGACATATATGTTAATTCATAAATATGGTTACTTTCTGAATTTAAAAGTTACCCTAACACATATTGATGACAAATTAATTCTTCTTTTTATATAATTCCAATTAAAGCGATATCTTATATTTAACCTGTGAGTAATGCTAAAGAGACTAATTTTGTAAACAAGGTTTTGGAAAATAAAGGACATGGAAGTTGATGATTGGTTTATTACTTAAGAGAAATTTTATTTAAACCCATTTAACCTCTTTTTACACCCAACTTAAATTTTAAATATTAATTGTCTATTTTACTCTATTACATAATTACTATTAAGTACAAAATGAAATTAATAATAAACTCAAATTTATCAATAAACTCAAACATTATAATTAAATCCTACGATTACTCTTTGTTTATCCTACGTTTATTCTGGCTAAAACCCTAATAGCTCTCATAGAGAAAAATAAGTTTTTTTATTGATAAATGGTGATTTTGAAGTTTTGAATCCTCCAACCAGGGTATGACTCAATTTATGAATTTTTTGTTCGTTTGATTTCAATTTTTTAGATAGTAGAAGTTATTTACTGTAATTTTTTTCAACAAATACAACGAAGGCATCCTACCTTATGCTAAAACAACAACGAAAGCATCCAACGATGAATAATGTCTAGTGTGAAAGGACCCAGTAACTTGAACTGGAAAAACAAAAAGACCAGTCGCAGCATCCTTTTTCTTCTTCTTTTTGTTCGTAATTTGCTTTCTCAAATCAGTTGAGCACAGTTTGAGGGTTGGCCACTTAAACCAGGCACTGTAAACCTTTGCACCTTTCTCTCTGGCACTCTGAACCATCCAATTCACAGACTGGCTCTCATAATCAAACATAGTCAACAATTTTTTGTTCCTTTGAAAAGGGTATGATTCGGCCAACAATTTAAATGCAGAACCTCTACTCACAGTAAACACAAGACCATACTCATTCTCAGGAATGTTCAAATAATCCATAATCCTAGCCTTTATATCATGTTCCAATAGTGCCTTTCTCAGCACCGCCATAAAGCACATGATTATTCAAATTTAGCTTCTAAAAATCAAATGGGTGTAAAAATAAATCCACATATTGAATTGGGTTTCTGAGGGTATATTAGGTATCAAATTTGGGTTTAAAGAGATATTAATAATTTAGTTAAAAATCAAATGGGTGCAAAGAGTAAGTTAGGTGTAGAAATAGGTTAGATGGGTTTAAATAAAATTTCCCTTACTTAAACATTAATAAACGTGTTTATTCCTATGGGGTGACATATCATTTAGTTTGCAAATTTAGTCTCCAAATTTAGTTTGCAAATTCATTTCTACCGCATCCATATTAGTTACTTATTTTCTGAGGAAAAAAATAGGGTTTTTATCACCAATGATCCCTCAGATTGATCCAACTCATCATTTCGGTCCCTCATTTTCAAAATCAAACAATATCGTCCTGACATTTACTAAAGTAGATCAGTTTGTCAAATAATAAATGTTAGGAATGATATTGATTGATTTTAAAAGTGAAAGATCAAAATGATGAGTTTAATAATTTCATAAACCATTTGTGATAAAGACCCAACAAAATATTAGTTACTTGTTAGATCGTGTTATATCATCGCAAAAACATTATAATTAAGATAGAAAAAGAAATTATTAAAGCTCTTTTAACTATAAATATGCTGGTGCATTTATGTCATTGTCACTTGTGAGTTAGAAAAGTGACTCCAAATTAGAGGAGCCAGTCCGCGCAACTTTGAAAGACAAATAATTGTTTGCGCTAATTTTGGCAACTGCCCACACCACTAAGGGGTGGTTTGGGAGTGAGGTGCTTAAAAAAAAAGCATCTTTGAAAAAAAGCTGTGAAGGTTTTAGGTGTTTGGTAAACTGAAAAAAATGACTTATTTTGAAAGCTGCTGTGAGAATAAGCTGAAATCAAAGGAAAAAGCTGAAGCTACTATATGCAGTTTTGGAAAACTGGTTTTTTTTCAAAGCACACAGAGCTACAGTGCTCCTTTAATGAAAAGACCCACTATCAGACTGCTTTTTTTTTCCAAAAGCATTTTTACAAAAAAGTTTACCAAACATTCTGCTGATTTATTTCACAGCCGCTTATTCTCACATCAGTTTTTTTTCAAAGCACAACAATACCAAACCAGCCCTAAGTCCAATGGCCCTGATGAGCTGTAAAACCATATGCTATGATGCAAAATCCACTGTGCGCCTGTTTTTTACCAACAAAAACCTGCGTCCGTATTTAGCATCTCTTCTAATACTATAAAGAAAAATATCATTTGCAATAATATCAATAACTTACTAATCAACAACACAACAAATAAACATCGATGATATATATTGATTTGATGTTAACTACATTTTACACCTTGGGGGGAGGCTTGATGATGTGGCATAATCTTTACCATTGAATGAGTTTGGAAATATTATGAATGGCTGTGGATGAAAGGAGCGTGCTGGCGGGGAGGGAGATACGAAAGAAAAATATGTGGAACCCAAATCAAAAGGGTGTAACGTGAAATTAGTCTTAGAAATTATAAATGAATCCTTTCATATAGCAGAAGGCATTGCCATGAGTGCCCCCTTTATGATCGTGGTGGTAAATTTGTAATCAATTGGCACGTAAAGAAGTCCGAGCATCATCATTCAAAAAGAGACTTCAAATTGGGGAGTGCACACAAGCTCATTATGATCAATTATCATTATCTCCTCTTTACACACTTGTCCAAATTGAGGAGTGATAAATGGACTTGGATTGTCTGCCCTCCCAATTCCATGCATTTCCCATGTCCTCCTATATTCTGTGGTCACAGTTAAGTCACATCAATATTTTATATTGATCTTTTTATAGAAATAATAAGACAAAAAGTAATGGGAATATAAAATATTGACATGGCTTAACCGTAACCACAGAAATAGGAGGGCATGGGAAGGGTATGGGATGGAGAGGGCAGACAATCCAAGTCTGTGATAAACATAAGACTTACCATTAATTAAAATTTGGATGTTTTTTATGTGAGAGACCTTGTCCCACTGCATGTCTCCTCCTCCTCCTCCAGCTCCATAAGATTGTGGGAGAATCAGACTGTTAAGAATGATCAAGTTCTGCTGCTGTGTCTTCCATAGGAAGTTGGGTGGTGTTTTCAGCACGCGACGTGACCGTTACAAAGAAATAAACATAAGATTTACGAATGACTTCTTAACACCAGCACATTACTCGGCCATACATAGAAAAATTGGCCCGCAACTTGCCTAAATCACCAACCATTTTCTTCCCATGTGCACATAAATGATTCCGATTATTGTAATTCACTATTTTGGTCTTTTAACAGTAATAACTTCGGAATTCACCCAATTTTCTCTCCTCTAGAGCAAGGCAATAAGCTGATTTTGTAGTAAACTTTTGCAAGTTGTGGGGAAAGTAGTTTTGGTTTTACACAATATTGTCCAAACCACGCCTACAAAAGTTCCAAACCAGCATGAATAGAAACATGCCTAGGCTTTTTTTCTGAGTAGATTTTATATTATATATTTAATCCTATTCTTAGTATACTTTGGTTAATATTTTGAAATAATTTTGATACTTTGAGTTGTACTTTTGATATAGGACTTTCGACTTCATCTGGAGCAAAAAAGAACCAAATGGACAAATTTTGGAGTAATTCTAGTTGGAAAACGTTCGTGAGTCACTTGGCTTGATCATATCAAAATATCATATTTTTCTACTAAGCTAGTGATAGAATAAAGGAGCAGTACGCGGTGCTGGAAAGTGACATTTTTGAGCTTGAATTGCGTTTTTAGAGCCCTAAGAGGACCTCAGATGGGTTTGTGGCCTTCTGG